TTCTTTACTCAATTCAATAAGAAAGCTACCGACAACAATCAATTTGCATCAAAATCATAATATGACTCACACAACAACTCGGTAAGTTCAATCAACTGTAGAAATCAATCATTCGAGATTTCCAATTTTTGATTTATTGAATCTAATTTCATGACCGTTAATCGGCTGAAAAGAGAACTCCATGCCTTGAAAATCGAAATAGTCGAACTTTGAAGAACAATAGAAATTAGATTGGGTTGTTGGAATGAGCATTGACCTGTTCATGATGTGAATTCAGTATTCATGACTACTAGGCCTTAGGTCTGTTTTTATAGTTAAAACCCAGTTGTCTAATTCCCAAATTATTAAACTCAAAAATAGTAGTAGATGACAGCTTGATGCCCCTTTAGACTTTGATGCCCTGTGCGGCCGCACGGGCTGCACGTGGCTAGGGCCGGCCCTGTGTATATGCACAAGAAGATTCATGTATAATACCATGCTTAGACAGGTAACTTGTAAAATCACGAGAGAAATATTCTTTTGCATTATTAGATCGCAGTTTTTTAATAGAAACATCAAACGAGTTCTGACATAGGCATAAAATTCACGAAAGAGAGATAATATTTCACTATGAGATTTAAGTAGGTAAACCCATGTTGCATGAGAAAATTCATCGACAAACATAATGTAATATTTAAAACCATTTGTGGAGGTAATAGGGCACGATTCCCATACATCCGAGTGAATGAGTGCAAATAAGGTGTTGACTTGACTAGACTTTCCAGGGGGATAGGAACAATGAGTGTGTTTACCCAAATGACATGACTCACATGTTAGGCAAAGAGGGGTGACCTAACCAACAGTGCACCTCCTGAATACTGGAATCACAAAGATGTGTAGCTGGAGATTGCAACATAGATAAGCAATAAAGACCCTGAGATTCAAAGCCTGTGCCAATCAACCATGCCAATCAACTGGTTTGTTCCCAATTCCTGAAACATATATCTGGGGAAAAAGGTTATATAACAATCAAGTTTTCTGGTGATTTGGCTAACGAATATTAGACTTCCAGGGAAGGTAGGAACATAAAGAAAAGATGATAAGTTTAGGTTTGACAGGTTGCTAGTGGATCCAATGCCCATAATTTGACCCGAAGATCCATTAGTCTCAAGATTGGATAAAAGCTCTTGGTTCCTGTCATGTGATATGTGGCTCCAGAATCAATAATTCAAGATGGCGAGCATGCAGAAAAACAAGTATATGTATACTTGATTGTGCTGCACCAACACAAAAAATAGGTAGAACCTGTCCTCGAGGATGACCCGAAACTGTAAATTCATTGGACGTCGATTGTTGCACAGGAACTTTGTCTCCCGTTGTTAAGTTGTAAATTTAGAAGGCTGGATCTCGGTCAGAGGAAGCCAAAAAAAGAGTTGGATTTGAGTTGGTTGTTCATGCGGCTGTTTCAGGTAGATTTCGGCATATACCGGCAGATTTCGGCATACCCCGGCAGATTTCGACGTGTTCTGGCATATTCCAACAGGTTCACACAGGTTCACACAGGTTCACACAGGTTCCAGTGTGTTCCAGCAGGTTCTGGTAGGTTCAGATGTGTCCCAGCAGGTTCGACGTGTTCCGGCGTGTTCGTGGCAGGTTTTGGAAGATTACAGCAGGTCGTGGAAAATTCTGGTAGGTTCTGGAAGATTCTGGCGACAACGGCTGGATATCCGGTAGAGTTCCGGCAACACCGGCTGCAGTTCCGGTAGGGTTCTGGTGATGTCGTCTAGGTATCCGGTGGGATTCCGGCGAAGTTGGCTAGGTTTCCGGCAGGATTTTCAGGCAAGGCTCTGATATCATGTAATCACTTGAATAAGGTGATGTATATTTCATTAAACAAGTAGGGAACTTTACACAATATATATACAACCAAGCAACCTAATTAAGGAAAGGATACTATGAAAGCAAACCCCTAATTTACTATATATAACACCGTCCAAACTCTCAATCAATCTAATTTAACTTGGGAAAGCTTTAGGAAGCGCTTATACAAGTCATAACTCTTGAAACACTTTTTGTCTTATACTCATGTTCACCTCTAACTCAAAAATTCTCTTCCACCTTTAAAGTGGCCTTCAGTTGACCTGCCACTCTTGACCAATTTGGGTTTGGGTACCTATCTAAGTGCCACATAACATATCAAAACATACCATATATTACACTGCACATATCATGCTCATATCAAACAAGTTACATAAGCACATATGTTGAAATGGTGCACATTCGATAATCTGGGATATTACACTTAGGAGCTCTTATTACAATGACTGATATTATAGCTTAGTTTATTATTCATGATCCCGTCTACTTAGGGCCATTGCCCTTTTAAAATCTGTCAGGTAAAACAGAGTATTCGTGATTAATACATAATCAGAATTGTTGATCCAATGGCAAGTTTTTCCAGACACACCTCTGTGATTTCTTGCTGGTTTTAATTTTGGACTTTGATTAGAACTATGAGGCATGGGCACTCTTGCTCTGATTAAAGAAAATTAGACAATCTTCAATGATGGTTGAGAAAAATTAGGACAATCAAGGTAATTTCTGTAGGCCTAATTGTAGTATGTCAGAAATGTAAATGGTATCTATCAAAGCCATGAAGTGGTTATTGTTTACCACCCTGTTACTTATCTTTTCTTAAGTTATGAGAGAACAGTGAAGTGGTCTTTTGGTCATCTTTTTGTAACTTATACGCATATAAGTAACTTAGGAAGGCTTTATATTGTACATTATAGTTATTTTATGTTCCATGACAATGAATCTTCAAATGGCAGATATGTAATGCAGTGGCAGTGGCAGGTCTTCTGAATGCAACACTACTCATTCCTCGTTTTAATTTTCATAAAGTTTGGAGGGACGCCAGGCAAGTTAATCACTTAGCTTTCTGCAATTTCAATTTATTTTACCTTTTTAGGAAAGAGTACCCAATTATTTGATTGCAGTAAATGTTTTGATTGACATAATGTACATGTGTGACTGTAATTTGAGATGAAAAGAATATAATATAATTTAAGGTGTTATTATAGTACTTTGTGTTGACGAGTGCTCCATAAGATAAGCCAAAATTATAGGATTGATTCAAATTGGTTCTTTCCTATCCTCCCTTCCTTGTATTTCTCCCTTCCGTAGTTATAGGATTGTTTCCTTATGTCTTCCTGTTTCCTCTCTGTATATATATTGGGTCTCATAATGAAATCAAATACACTCAAAAATATTAAGCAATCATCCGTTCTCTTTATTTCACATCGTATCAGAGCGAGGGATCTCGGACCCCTCATAAACTCGTAAAACCCTCACCATGAGCGAAAAAGAAGTCCCTCCTGTCATTGTCCAGAATGTACAGGATGCACTATTCCCATCCAGAATCATCTTGGATGATAAGAATTACCCGTTATGGTCGCAACTCATGGAGATGCGAATTGGAGCAAGGAACAAATTAGGGTTCCTCACGGGTTCCACCCTGAAACCAAAAGACGAAAAGAAGATGGAAGCCTCTTTCATTGATAATCATCGTGTCAAGAGATGGCTCATTGATTCAATGAGTCCACAATTGATGCAACGCTTTATCAGACTTTAGACGGCTAAGGAGATCTGGGAAGCCGTTGCCAAAACCTTCTATGATGGTACAGACGAAACACAATTATTCGAACTAAATCGGAGATCGTTCACCACACGTCAAAACGGAAGAACCTTACCTGCTTACTACAACGAACTGGTAAGTATTTTTCAAGAAATTCACTCTCGTATTATGGATAAGGAAGATGTTAATGCCGTTGTATCCCTTCACAAAACCCTAGCCTGTCTAAGAGTGCATATCTTCCTGGCCGGCCTTGATCCGGAATTTAATCAAGCCCAAAGTGAAATACTGAGAAAAGACCCACCCCTTGACCTGGAATCAAGCTATGCATATGTCTGAAAGGACCAAAATCAGAGACACACTATGGAAGAACCCAAGTCGGAACCCGATGACATGGTTCTCCTAACCACTTGAAGCCATCCAAAAGGAAAAAACGTCAACAGTAAAGGTAACACCCTTACCCGCACTCTTTGTGGGGAAGACGGACACTCTTAACAACGGTGTTATGAAATCATTTGCTATCCAGACTGGTGGGATTTCTCAAAGAAATCAAGAAAGAAAATAGGACAAGCCTGCGTTGCTGCCACTGGAGAACTCGTGGAGCCTCCTACTCTTGTTGCAGCCCATGTTGAAAAGAATACATTTGGTATGTCAAATACTGACCACTCTAAAAAAGGATCTTGGATTATTGACACATGGGCGACTGATCATATGACAAATGACCAATCTCAACTGATATCTATGCATTCCCTTATGCAATCCGATATTCTTACTGCCAATGAGGGAATAGCACGTGTAACCTGTGAAGGACCAACGCAAGTATCTAGTTCCATGAATCTAAACACTGTCCTTGTTGTCCCCTCTCTGTCTTCAAGCCTCTTATCTGTTAGTCAGATTACAAGAACTTTGAATTGCTTTGTGACTTTTTGGCCTGATGAGTGTATGTTCCAGGATATCACGACATCAGATTCTGCTATGGTATTAGACGGGGAAAGCTATACTATCTTGAAGAACATCGTGGTGAGGCTCTCAATACTGGAATAAGCGAAGGAACTAAGACGTTAACGTGACGACTAGGACAATTGTCCTTTGGTTACCTTAGGAAATTGAAACCAAGTTTATTTTTGAATACACAAGATTCTGGTTTTAAGTGTGATATACGTGAGATGGCGAAAAACCATAGAATTTCTTATGGTCCTAGTAATAATAAAAATTTGGTTCCGTTTATGACTATACATTCAGATGTGTGGGGCCCGACCCAAAGTGCAACACGAGACGGTGCTCGGTATTGATGAATGCACTCGTATGGTTTGGATTTCTCCCCTAAGACATAAAGGTGAAGTATGTAGTGAGTTTCGGGAATTACACTGAATGGTGAAATGACAATACAATTGCAATATTCGGGTTCTCCAATTAGACAACGGGGGAGAGTACATAAATCATGAGATGCACCAGTTCTGCAAGGCTAACTCCACTCGACATCAAACATCATGTGCAGGCACACCCAAACAGAATGGGCTGGCAGAACGCAAAAACCGGCAATTATTAGAGATTGTTCGTGCCTCGTTTGACATGAAAGTTCCATGTGAATATTGGGGTGAAGCTGTCCGATCAGCAACTTACCTCATAAATAGAACCCCGTCTCGGGTCATCGACTTTCAAACCCCTCTTAAGAAACTTCACGGGCTTGTTTCAGCACCAATGAGTCCAAATCTTGAACCAAGAGTGTTTGGATGTACATCATATGTACACCAAAACACAGGGAAATTAGAACCAAGGGCTGTCAAATTCGTGTTCCTCGGATATGCGGACCTCCAAAAGTAATACAGATGCTATGACCCCAAGGAACAAAAAATGCATGTCACTCGTGATGTTGTGTTCCATGAAAACACCTCATTCTTCGGCTACAAGTGTTCTCTTCAGGGGGGGGGGGAATATAACAAAGACGTATGAAGAAAACACCTATGATCATCTCGAAGAAAACGTTGAAGAAACCCTTGATGAGCCAAACAACGAGACGAGAAGCCCAATGGATCAAAGTGATGAATAAGTCAACGAAACAAGAAGCTCAACTGTTGACGAGAATCTAACAAACTTGGAAGAAGCTAATATAGTTTCCCGAAATACTCCCGGAAGTACGGTGACCCCCAAGGTATCTATCGACCCTACTTCGTGTGATACGACTAATCCTTCTGTCTTGCAAGAAAACGAATCGAGATACCCAGCCAGACAAAACAGGGGAATTCTGAAAGACAATACCAGCCTGACCTCAATGCTAAAGCAAAATACTGTATCAACAACTATGTGTCATCACATCAGTTGTCCGAATTCCACGCACTTGCAGTAAGCCAACTAACCGCTGTCTCCATACCAAATGATGTACATGAAGCATTAAAAGAAGGAAAGTGGAAGAATGCCATGAACGAAGAGATGGGGGCGTGGCAAAAGAACCATATCTGGGATCTCATGACTCTTCCCTTAGGAAAGAAGACAGTGGGATGCCCGGTGGATATACTCCATCAAACTTGACTCTAAAGGAAACATCGATAGATACAAAGCAAGACTCGTGGCTAAATGCTACACTCAAAAGTATGGGATCGACTATGGATATACATTTGCCCCCGTAGCAAAAATAAACACTATCCGCATTCTTATCTCTATAGCTGCCAACCGAGATTGGCCATTGAAACAGTATGATGTTAAAAATGCTTTTCTGAATGGGCATTTAGAAGAATATGTGTTCATGGATCCTCCTCTCGGGATAAATTACACCGACAAAGTAGGCACACTAAACAAAGCGCTATATGGCCTAAAACAGTCACCTCGAGCATGGTTTGGAAGATTCTCAAGCTTTATGAAAAAAATCAGGTATAAACAAAGTGATGCTGATCACACTTTGTTTGTCAAGCACGAAGGGATCAACGTAACTACCCTTATTGTGTACGTGGATGATATGGTAGTCACCGGAAATAACCTAGAAGAAATGGCGAAACTCCAAGAACTCCTTGTAGCTGAATTTGAGTTAAAGGATCTTCGACCCCTAAAATATTTTCTAAGGATCGAGGTGGCACGATCGATACAAGGTATAACCATGTGTCGAAGAAAATATATTTTTAGACCTCTTGGCAGAAACGGGAATGTTGAACTGCCGTCCTGTGATACCCCAATAGAAGTGAACCATGGGTTAAGAATTCATCTAGATCAAATGCCAACAAACAAAGAGCGATATCAAAGGTTAGTGGGGAAGCTAATATATCTTTCTCACACACGCCCAGACATTGCATATGCCGTTAGTGTTGTAAGCCGCTTTATGCATGCTCCAAGTGAAGACCATATGAATGTTGTTCATTGCATTCTATGGTACCTCAAAGCAGCTCCCGGGAAAGGTCTATGGTTCCGAAAAAATAAAGCTCAAGAAGTAATAAGTTATACCGATGCGGATTGGGCTGGAGACAAATCTGATGGGAAATCAACATCAGGTTACTTCTCCTTTGTGGAAGGAAATCTGGTCAGGTGGAGAAGTAAGAAACAGAAGGTGGTTGCAAGGTCCAGTGCTGAAGCTGAGTACAAAGGAATGGTTCATGGTGTATGCGAGTTATTATGGATTAAGCGAATTTTGCAAGTCCTTGGAGTTAATCAAAGTAACTCAATGAAACTGTATTGTGACAACGAAGCTGCAGTAAAGATTGCAAATAATCCGGTCCAACATGAAAGGCGAAAGCATGTGGAACTTGACCGACATTTCATCAAAGATCATCTTGAGAAAAAAACTATTAATCTCCCGTTTGTCAACTCAAAAGACCAGCTGGCTGATATGCTTACTAAAGCCGTATACGGAGGAGTTTTTCAAAGCTCTCTTAGCAAGCTGAGAATGTTGGATATCCATTCTCCAGCTTGAGGGGGAGTGTTGACGAGAGCTCCATAAGATAAGCCAAGATTATAGGATTGATTCAAATTGATTCTTTCCTATCCTCCTTTCCTTGTATTTTTCCCTTCCATAATCCATAGTTATAGGATTGTTTCCTTATGTCTTCATGTTTCCTCTCTATATATATATTGGGTCTCATAATGAAATCAGATACACTCAAAAATATTAAGCAATCATCTGTTCTCTTTATTTCACACTTTGACACATATACAGTCTTTATTGAATCTTGCCCAATATTAGGAGTGCCACATGACACTGCAATTCGCTCTGCTACATCTATGCCTCAATAGCAAAACATGCACCAGTGTCGAATGACTGTGCTATAGTTAGGTTGAGATTGTCATTCTAATGAGAACATAACTCCGTTGTGACCCGGACACTGTGCTAACATAAAGAAAGATGCTCTCTTTAAGCTGATTTATGCCATTAGAGAAAGCTCAGTACTCAATTGGGTGCACCAATAACTGATGCATCACGCTCAGGACACAAATAGTCTAGTCACCAGTCTGGTTCTCTATATCTGCACTGCTAGGAGAGCCTGAAGCTCGAAATCTTGATGCTCTTATCACATCATATTGATAAAAACATGTATCAAGAAGGATATAAAGAACAACACATGACCTTTTGTAGAGTAATTCTGCAGCAATTTTCATCAGGTTATATTGCATGGACAACAATGGTGATTAGCTAGTGTCTGTGAACTGCAAATTTTACCCACTAGTCCCTCAAGAAGGGTGTAAAGAACAACATATGACCTATTCGTAGCATAATTTATGCAGCAATTTTCATCAGGTTGCTTTTATGTATACATACTCATAAAGGAAATGCTCAATTCTCATACAGTAATTTTAACGTGCATGTGAATAAAATTTTATTTCGTTAACTAAAATATATAAATCGACTTCATTTTTAGCATAAACTTATTATTCACAGACTTCGACCATGTCTTGAGGTCCTCCTGAAGCGCTTTAAAAGCTTTGGTATAGATTTGTGTATAATGAGGGAAGAGAACTAGATACTTGCAATAGCTATTGTGCTTAGCTACACTGTTCTTGTTCTGCACTTGGTGTAATATCCAATGGACCTTTTGTAGATACCAATAACTTGATAAGTAATATCAATAACTTGCGGGTTCTTTTTAATTGGTCATTACATGCATTATTCTTGAAATGGATAAAAGGAATTGGTTTTGTTGCCTGCACTTATTATTCTTTGTGCTTTTTGCTCTTGTCAGTGAGTTTGGGGACATATATGATGAAGAACATTTCATAGCCACCCTTAAGCGTTATGTTGATGTAGTGCGTGAGATCCCCAAGGAACTGATGGAGGAATATGATTTCAATATAAGTAATATACCAAGCTTTCGAGTCCCAGCTTGGGCTTCTGCCGGTTACTACTTGAAAGAAGTTTATCCTGTCCTCAAAGAGCAAAGGTTGGTGCTTCACATTGTCAAGCATTCTGGTATTCGTTTATTTTTGTTCCAAATTGCAGTTTCATTAAATTTGGTTATCTAAACCGATGGTTATACAAGATGTTTGTCTTATGTTGTGTTAATACGATTTAGCATTTCGTTGGCCTGTATGCCCATTTTATACAATGTGTCTGCTTTCACTGATGATGCAACCTGCACTCGCAGAACCTTTCTTTACACAGGTGAAATAGGACAGCAATAACAGGTGGCAATCTCGTCTAAAATCAGCCTAATAAAAGACTCCAACAAACTACTAAACCCAATAGAAAAGTTTCCATGAAGGAGAGAGTTTTGAGGTTGGAACCTAGGCTCTCATACCAAAATTTGATGTCAAATCAAATGATGGACTGAAATGATTAATCTGGGTAAGTTTGAGAGTGAAACAATGAACTCATAACAAAAACTATGAAGTTACTGAGAGAGAAGAAAATACTAGATAGTTAAATAACCTACTACTCTAATCTCTAAAGGAAATTAATCCACCAAGATAAAAGGGAAATAGAACATTCCAAACAAACAAGATCAGAGATCTTCAAAAGAAATAAATATTTCATGTAATAGAGATACTTCATTCATTTTTATCTATGTTGTTAGCCGAAAGTTGATAAGTAGGGTTCATCTTTCTACTTATCATTTATAAGTTCTGTAAGTTGTGTATATATTTGTACCTTTCATCTCGTTATCTGTACATAAAACTATTTTACCTTTGACTACATGGTAATAGAGCATCTGAAACCCAAGCCATTACTTTTGAGTCGCACATGTGGAATCCAGCAGTCACAGATTTGAAACCCTATCCCTTACTACTGCCAACCATCACCGATCGTCATCGCCTTCGCCGTCGTCTTGCACATCTGAACCCCAGCCATGGTGCTGCTACACGTTAACCCAGTTATCGCAAACCTGTAACTCTAGCCCCTGGGCGCCGTCTCCACCATCGCTGGCCGCCGTAGACACCGACGGCTGATGTGTTTCCGACATCAACTCCGATAAATTTTGTTATCTCTTCTCCATTTGAAAAAAGACCTTGCTATCCTTTTGAATATATAAGTTGGCATGAGTATTATAAGCGTTGAAAAAATGCGTTTTCTTGCTTGCACATGTGAAAATTATTGAATATTTATCCTCTTTGTAATGAGGAATATGGGGTACATTTGTTGCATTTGATAGGAAAGTCTATTTCATTTCTTGTTTGATTTTGGGCTTCTTCTGGTCGTAAGATCCAAGGTTTTAAATTACGGAAATTGCGAGGTGAGGCGTAAGCCCTGGGCGGAAATGTAATTCCCAGATATCTAAAGATTGATATAATTCACACAAGAACAATGTAGAAACAATGATAAATCTAATCAAGAACGGTAGATTGAAGCACTGAAGTCATGTATCATTAATCTTCATAGTAGTTACAAGCTTAAGAGAGTGATTCTGGAGAGAGAAATATTAAAATGTGAAAGCTTAATTGTGTTAAAGTAAGTACAAAGGTCTAGAATCTACATCTATTTATACCACAAGTTCAGAAGACTAACTATAGTTACATGACAGTTACAAGCAGTTATAGTACAAACATATGATAGGCTGACACGTGGACTAATATCCTCTGGAGTCTTCTGAACTCGTATCTCTTCAAGACTTTTGAGGAGCAGAGTAGTGGAAATAAGATCTTCTTCTATATCTTCTTTAAGACTTTGTTCGAACTCTGACTCCATAGCCTCAGATCTCTGACTCAATACAACACTTGGCGTTTCTTCAGATATCATCTTCTCTGATCCAACTTACAGAAAGTCTGGATCTACAGGAAACTAAATAAATTATGTAACGTGTAAAATGTAATTCCATATCAAACTAAGGAAATTTTAGAAGTCATAAACTTACTACTTGTACGTCTTAAAAACATAAATTCATTTATTCGAATAAGTGATAGTTTTATGAAACATGACCAATTGCATAGCTCCACCATTATATTCGTAATCACTATCATCATCCTCGTATTCCAAATTCACTTAGAATACTTTTCCTCTTCATTGATGTTGAACTTTGTCCCGCATCCTCGGTTGATACACCATTGTCGTCTTTGTCATCATTTGGGTGTGTAATACATTCATCGTCTGATGACACATCATTTCAGTGATAGTTTGTTCATGAATCTATGCTTCAACTACCTCTTGTACATGATGTACACCAAGCTATTCATCTTGTTTGTGCGTGCACGATTTTTTTCTTTTTGTGTGCACTTGATTGAGCGTACTCCAATTACATCCACATATTGATGCCGAACAAGTAAGGTTAAGAATCCTCATTGCAAACGCTTTTAACTGCGACGTATCATCTCCAAAGTTATCCCGCCGTAGAACTATCTATATATATTATTGACGAAATAAATAAAGTGCTGAATCATTTATGTTATTTATAAAACGAAAAATAAGTGATAGAAGTACATGCATTTACCAGGTGGTGGACGTGATTGGTAACTTGACAAAGCTTTAAGAATCCAAACCATCTTTGTTTGCAAGTCTATACGATAAGATGGTTATCAATCTTTCACATTGAACATTATCTTCTAACACTCCCCCTCAAGCTGGCATGTATATATTAATCATGCCAAGCTTGCTAGTAAGTTATTTGAACAACTTCTTTGTGAGACTTTTAGTCAGGAGATCAACAATCTGTTGCTTTAAGGATAAGTAGACCAGGTACACACTTCTGGAATATAACGTTTCTTTTATAAAATGACGATCAACTTCCACGTGCTTGGTTCTATCATGATGAACCAGGTTGTGAGCTATGCTTACAGCTGCCTTGTTGTCGCAGTTAAGTTTCATTTGTGCTTCAAAGGGTACCCCTAACTCTTCCATTAGTTGTCTTAGCCATATTCCTTCGCACATGCCATGTTCCACAACTCGAAACTCAGATTCAGCGCTCAACGATTGTTTTTTACTTCTCCATGTCACGAGGTTTCCCGTAAATAGCTACAATAACCTCTGGTTGGTGGCCCGTCATTAACAACAGCGGCCCGATCAACATCGATGGGTAAGGAGACTTCTAAAAGAGCTCAAAGTAAATACCGATGACTTGATGAGACTTATTATGATAACCAATCATCTATTCATATAACCAAGAATCAAGTATTCCATGAGAGAACCAAGCACATTGAGGTTGATTGTCATCTGATCAAAGATCATGTTGTGGGATTTGAGACAGATCTTCCATCAATCCAACCAGTACACATCAAGACCGATTACTAGCTTGCGGACATCCTCACGAAGCCATTATGGGAAGCACAAATAGATTTTATTTGTAACAAGTTGGACATATTAACATCTTCGCTCCAACTTGAGGAGGAATGTTAGATATAGTAAACTAGGATTTTACTTTCCTAGCATAGTAATATGTTTTCCTTAAATAGTTTGCATATATATTCATGTAGAGTTACTATCGGGTGTGTTCGGTAAATTGGACACGACAGTTGAGAACAAGGATCACCGTGCCACGTTTGGCAGGATTATAATGGGGAACAAAGTGGAATAGAGTGGAACAAAGTAAAATAGAGTGGAAAAGGGTGTTCCACCCCCACCCCATGGAACTAGCTGGAACAGACTTATGTTTTACCAATATGACCTCAAAATAAAACTTAATTCTCTTCTAAAACATCAAATATGCCTTCCTCTTTACATTTTATTCATTTTTTTAAAATTTATTTATTGTATTTTATGCTCTTTAAACTTTTACTTTTAGTCCTCAAAATATTTTTTTGTATATGATTTTTATATTTTTGATAATTTATGTAATTTATTAAACGTTAACAATAACAAATTAATATAGAAAAATATAAAATAAAAATTGGAAATGACAAACTTTTTATTTAGGTGCCATTTTAATCGTCTTGACGAATACTTTCTAATGATATATTTTGTTATATAATTTTTTTATAATTTAATAGATTACATAATTAATCAATAGATTACATAATTAATCAAAAAATATAAAATATATATACAACTCATTAGGGGTAAATTGGTCATTTTATCTGTTCTGTCCTGTCCAATTCTGTCTTACCAGAACGTTGAACAACTGTTATGTTCTGTCCTATGGATACCAAACGCACCCTTCAAGTTAATTACAAACACACCAGACCTGTTGGATAACATGAAGCAAGGTGAATTTTTTGTTGAAACTAGGATTACGCAACAACCACTTGGGTAAAGCAGGCAAGGCAACAATTGCTTGACTTGAACTCATAACAATTTCTTGATTTCCATTGGATTGCTTACTGCCCTTAGGTACACCCATATCAACTTGTCAAGTTACTTGATGACAGTAAGGGTCTGTGACTCACTTTGAACAACGTGGTTCCCCTAAACATATTCTATATCAAACTTAGCATTGTGGGATCACCTCATCGACTTGTGATCTCATAGTGCATGATAGGAATCCAACAATCATCCTTTTTGAAGTTTTCTGTTATTAAGATTTGGGTTTGTTCAAATAGACTAAGAGGTCTTATTATTTTTAACTCTTTACAAATTCAATGCAGAATTGTACGGGTTGCTCCTTTTGCAAATAGATTGGCTTCAAGTCTCCCTCCTCATATTCAATATCTTAGATGCCTTGCTAATTATGAAGCATTGAGATTCTCTATCTCCATCACAACACTTGCTAACACATTAGTCAAAAGAATGACTGCGGATAGTTCAGGTTCAGGCGGGAAATATGTTTCTGTCCATCTTCGGTTTGAGGAGGTATGCTGCTATTTTCTTAATGGATCGTATTGGGGGCTTGTTATCATTATCCGTTCACAGGGTTTATGGTTACAAATTAACAGTCTTTTTGGCAGATCGCCGAACTTTGTTGTGCAACAAGTGTTTGTTGACTTTTGTTTGTGTTTTGTTCTTCATCTTTTGCATCTTTTCTCGTTTGTCTTTCTGTTAATTTGTGTTTCTTCAGCCTCTGCTTCTGAAATGACTCATTATTGGATATTACTGTAGTAGGGACTGAGTTTAACATTCCGATCTTATTCATTACATGTAGGACATGGTTGCCTTTTCATGCTGTGTTTATGATGGAGGAAAATCTGAACAACTTGAAATGGATTCAATACGTCAAAAGGGTTGGGGGGAGAAGTTTAAACGTAAAGATTATGTCATCGCACCCGGTCGTAATCGAATGAACGGGAGGTGCCCAATGACGCCTTTGGAGGTTAGCTTTGGGAACTCCTGAATTTTTTCATTTCTTGAATTCTGCATGCTGTTTCAGGCTCGATTTCTTTGAAAGGTTAGAAGCTAGCACGTAATTAGCTTAGGTTGGCATCATATGGGTGACCTTTAAAAACTCTATGGAGAGTATGGAATTCTTTGCATAATTCATGGAGTTTTTACTTTTTCATGTGATAATTGTCCATGGTTGTATGGCAATAGGGACAAGGGTGCATATATGAGATGCTAGATGAACACAGTATTATGATAATCTCTCTGTTCCATCTCCCAAAAGAAGGTACACTTTGACTTTTGAGGTCCAATGGACTATTTTTCCAGCTTAAAATTTGATATGGATGCTTTAGTGGCAAAAGATGATAACTAGATATTAGACAAAATTTTATGCGAACTTTGGAAAAATGCCATTTGATTGAGGATTAAAAGAGTTCTGGTTTTCATCAAAGTTGAAGCGTATTTGTATTTTGGAAGAGAAGACGAAGGAAAAGCCCTTTACTCATTAAATTGCCTTCGCTGTTTTCCCAAGAACAAGAGCAAGAAAAAATGAAGATATAAAATGTCAACCTCAAGGGTATTGGATGAAATTTTAGCATGTGCAGCATAACTTATTATCCGAAGTTCTTTCAGTTAGTTGATGCTTTGAATGAACATATTCATGTGGTAGGCCTTTATGGAGTTTGCAACTGTGCCAACTTTTCTTTTGGTACACACTTCTGTTTTCTTTTTGTTTGTTTGTGTTATTTGCTTTTTGGCCCCCCTATTATTCAAAACACATGAACTCATGAAGCAATGTTGGGGAATTTTGATCCCTTAAGGTTCCTGGAAAAGTTGAACTAAAAATTTTGGCGAATTTTGGACGAATCATGCTCCCCATCAATAGGATATCCAAACATCAATATAACCTATCCCCTTCCTCAGCATCTTAACAAGGCTTCTGTTATATCCCTTTCTACTTCAGGTGAAAAGAGAAAGTAAGATCACACTGGTGACCAGATGGTGAAAACAAAGTGCGGGAATATGTGAAACCCCCAGATGACTCTCCAAAATAGTCCTTGAGGAGAGAAGGGAGGTTCCAACATATATAGAGGTGAAATGGTCCAAGTCTATCCAATGTAGGACTCTTAACACAAGGAATACAAAAGGTCATATGCATATAATTTTGAAGATGAAATCTGATTTGATCATGCTTCTAAAAACTGAAGAAATGTAATTGCTTGGAGAACCTAAAATGCAACTCCTACAATCTGTTACATAAGCCGTCTGGCAAAATCTAACTCAAATAAAATGTTTTGTCTTTTCGTAAATAATTGGTGAACCGTTAGCTATCTAAGTAACATCAAGAAAGTGGTGATCTAACCAATGGACTAGGGACAGAAATCTTCAAGACTCTGAAACCAATATTTCACAGAATCGGAACATTATCGGCTTATTACCCTTTTCTTTAATGTCATCGTTGCTAGGGATTCATGCATAACTGCTGAGGTTTTAGTTGCTACTTTTTTATCCTTTCACCTCAGAGCAGTAATAGCTCTATTGTAAGTTTATCGTGTATAGAATTAAGGTTTACGACGAGCAAACAAATCTGATGCCTACTTCTCTGGGAAAGACGAGACATAAAATTAGCAACTCTGGGGCTGTTTGGCAGTTGCTGAATGGTTTAGTGCAGAATGATTAAGTGGTCAGGATGATTAAGAGACTCTGTATGATTTAGTGTCAGATAGAAAAAGGTTGTTTGGAAACTGTTCTGAATGAACAGTCTGAATGACATAAAATTACCATTTTACCC